TTGGCAAAAAGTCCTGCGCCTGCCCTGCCCTGCCCTGCCCTGCCCTGCCCTGCCCTGCCCTGCCCTGCCCTGCCCTGCCCTGCCCTGCCCTGCCCTGCCCTGCCCTGCCCTGCCCTGCCCTCCCCTGCCCTGCCCTGCCCTGCGCTGCCCTGCCCTGCCCTGCCCTGCTCTGCCTATTACTAAACCTGAAACTCTAAGCCCAGCAAAACCCCAACACCCTAAGGCTCTGCATTGCATCGGCCCTAAACCCCGAACCTTAAGGCCTGAACCCTAGACCCTTGTAGAAACCCTAAACCATGTACCTTTCAAGACAACAGAAGCATGAACCCTTAAACCCTGAACCCCTGAGCCTGAAAGCCCTAAACCCTCAACCCCTAAACCCTCAAACCCCCCTAAACCTTACGCCCCTAGACCCTAAACCCCTCGACCCTAAACCCTAAACCCCTGGACCCGAAACGCCTGGTGGAACCTCTTAGACGAAGCTGAGGTCGGCCAGTCGTCAGCAACAGGCGGCCCCCGATTTCTTGCATCTTCTTGGGCCGCATGAAAGGGTTCAAACAGGGATCTATAAGGGTTTCCGGCTCAGGATATAGGGGTTTGGGTTTAAGGTTGCAGGGTGTAGGGTTTAGGGCTGAGGGTTTAGGGTTTCGGGTTTGCCATGGAAAACCGCGTTGGCGAGAATATTTGGCGATAGCGCGGCTTCGGGTGTACCGCAGCATGGCGATTAGCTGCTCTAGACCGATGGTAGTGCGCCTATTTTTTTCATCCACCCCACGCCGTCTGAGGCGGCCGAGCCACCCAAACCTATTCCTTTAAGGGTTTATATAGCTTAACGCATTCCCATTAAATTCTCTCTTTCTACAAGCTTTCTTTTTCCCCAAACAGTGCTTGCACAATGGGGTTCTTACGTTCTAAGTAAAGGAATTGGATGCGGGCCGCAACGGCGCACGCGGTGGTGGGGCGGGGCCTTCGACACTCTCGGTCTCTTCTGGCCTCTTTCGGGGGCCACACTCAGGTGCGCGGGTTTTGACACGTAGTCTATGCGTTGGCGAATTTTCCAGACAAAAATGTTGTTGGCCAAAACAATACGAAACTAAGAAGACTACGTCCGAAAGGCTTTAAAAGGTTTGTCCGAATGCAGGGCTACGGAATGTGCGGCTTTTGAATCGTGGCCTGTGCAGTGCCAAACTGCTGTGAAAGTATTGCCAAATTCCAGAAGAAACGAAGCAGAATTGGCCGAAAGGCTTTGAAACTAATTTTCGGCATGCAATTGCAGGGAGCGCGCGGGTTTTGAGTCGTGGTCTATGCATTGACGAATTTTTTCGAAACGCCGCAAAAGTGTTGGCCAAGACAAGACAAAACGAAGAAGACTACGTCCGACAGGCTTTACAAACACTTGTCCAAATGCAGGGGTAGAGAGTGTGGGGCTTTTGAAGCGTGTCCTCTGCAATACCAACCTGCTGTGAAAGTGTTGCTAAACACCACAAGATTTGTCCAAAAGGCTTTGAAACCAATTTTCGGCATGCTGGTGTTGCGAGTATTGCCTTTCCCTATGCAAACACGACCCTGCTCGTCCGATGCGGAAACAATTGCTTATGGGCCATGTGACCGTTCAAAGAGATTCTCCGGCAAAATTGTTGCGACTGTTTCATTTCCATATTAAAAACGGTGTGTTTGAGCATCCCACAAGCTCTTTATTGAAGGTCTATGTGCGTCCCGATAAGTGCCTTGGAAAGCTGCATGTGCATCAAAAAGAACCCTTGCGGAAGCTCTTTCTCAGTGCCCAAAAAACCCTTTCGGAAACAGAAGCATGCAAGTCCCCGATCCTTTTCGGAACCCAGCGAATGCGTTGGAGAGTAGCTGCGTGGAGAGTGGGCGAGTCTGCGACGGAGGACGGCGGAAGAGAGGGAGGGAGGGAGACGGAGAGAGGGAGGGAGAGACGAGGGACGGAGGAACAGAGGGAAGGAGAGAGGGAGACCGTAAACGAACGAAGCAATGCGCTGCTGCTCACGCTGGTTTCTTTGATGCCGCTCAGCCTCAGATTGCAGTCATTGTCGCAATCCTCGCTGCGTAGCTGCTCACGCTGGTTTCTTTGATGCCGCTCAGCCTCGGATTGCAGTCATTGTCGCAGTCGTTGCTGCGTAGATGTCTCAAGTGCTCCACCTCGCTTTTCAACCATTGGC